TGAGTCAAATTTGCGCTGATCGAGCCCTTCTTTCAAAAGTCATGGTTTTTTGAAAAATAATGCCGAAAAATCAATTTCCTAAGAATTCTTAAGAAATGGATTTTTTGGCATTTTTTTTTCAAAAATTCATAGCTTATGAAAGAAGCGCTCGATCAGCACAAACTGGACTCAGTTAGTAATCAAATGTAAGAAAAATTAGGATAATGGCTTTTCTGGATTTTATCGCACAGTTTCTGAATTTTTAGAATTCTTGCTCAAAAATTCCGAATTTTGGATGATTTCGTTCTTTCATTTTTATCTCTGCAAAGTGAGCGTATTGGAAAGTCTCCAGTGGATTTTTGGAAACTATATGCCTTGCGCTTTCTAATAAAATTTAAATGGCGCAAAATCATTTTGAGGAAAAGAAGTTATGAATTTTTGAAAATAGTGCGACAGGACTTTCGGTTCAACCACACACACACACACACACACACACACACACACACACACACACACACACACACACACACACACACACACACACACACACACACACACACACACACACACACACACACACACACACACACACACACACACACACACACACACACACACACACACACACACACACACACACACACACACACACACACACACACACACACACACACACACACACACACACACACACACACACACACACACACACACACACACACACACACACACACACACACACACACACACACACACACACACACACACACACACACACACACACACACACACACACACACACACACACACACACACACACACACACACACACACACACACACACACACACACACACACACACACACACACACACACACACACACACACACACACACACACACACACACACACACACACACACACACACACACACACACACACACACACACACACACACACACACACACACACACACACACACACACACACACACACACACACACACACACACACACACACACACACACACACACACACACACACACACACACACACACACACACACACACACACACACACACACACACACACACACACACACACACACACACACACACACACACACACACACACACACACACACACACACACACACACACACACACACACACACACACACACACACACACACACACACACACACACACACACACACACACACACACACACACACACACACACACACACACACACACACACACACACACACACACACACACACACACACACACACACACACACACACACACACACACACACACACACACACACACACACACACACACACACACAAGTCACGTAAACATCCTTAGCCCGTTATTATGAGTTATGATACGAGTGCTTCACCTCTGCTTCACAGAGGCTCGCACTGACTCTACTGTCTAGACTCTACTGTCTAGACTCTACTCATTCTCGCATAATGATGACATTGAAACTCACCAAGCAATGCCGAGTATCACGAATAAAATATAAACAACTACTCATTCTGAAAGCATTTTCATGTGAAATCGGTCATTTCGCGTGGATGAAACTTTTTCAGGAGAAAAAACGCAAATTTTTCGTATGTTTTTGATTTTCCCGGGGTCTTGACAGTTGCCATGAGAACAGTACTCACCGTGTGCTAAATTTTTGTGCAAAAATCTCCTCAAATGCTCTGGTAAAACCTTGGCAAATTGACCAATCACGCAACCAATACTTTTTGTCGCTGTTTTTGTAAGGCAATGGACTTTTGATTACTTTTTTGGGCCTACGTTCATGACTTGCACATTTACTTGCTATAAACACCCACCACTCTGCAAATGTGGAATTACGGACCCAGTTTTATGGGCCAAATGCAAAGTGGATCCGTTTGACGCGCAATTTCTAAGAGACCCACACAACGAATCTGCTTATGCTTTTGCATGTTGAACTTTCATTTCAGTAGCAGTGCTATGCAAAATATGAGTCCAGGACGTTGGCTGGGACACGCTCTACGAATTTCGTGACAGACAGACACACACACAAAAACACGTACATGAACACTCCTAGCGCGTTATTATAGTAGGATATTGCCAGTCAAGGCATTCGATCTGATAAACTACTCCCATTTTTGCGGAGTCCCCCACTCTACCGTGCAGGCATACTATGCATTGCTCTATTGTACAACGTAGAGCCTATTTTGGACTAGCTGCTTTTTGATAGGGTTGTTAGACTAGAGCAACATCATCTTGCAGCTGGGCTCGAAAAATGCATTGTTGAAACAGAGCTCATTGTTCTAGTTAACATGCCTGACAGCAGTATCAAAAAGCAGCTTGCCGGCAGCCAGCATCTACAGTGTGATTCACTCGCCTGCCGCGACTGCCATCTCTGGTGCAGACTAGTTGAATAGAGGTTGTCTTCCGGTATGTCCTCTGCACTGACATTCTATTCGATAGCAAGTGTGAGAAGGTCACAGCTCGGCAGTGGTGGCGCTTTCACATGATGGATATCGTTTTCTGTGGGAGAAGCAAAAGGGAAGTCGTGAAATTTTCAAGGACGACTTCCAGATCTGATATGGCCCTAGCGTCATTCAACCGCCAACACGTCACTTGACATGTTACAAGCACGACCAAGTCACCAACTTGTGTTCACACAATTCCCAGCGTGTTAAAACATGATTTTTAAAGATAAACAGTTAGTTTGTTTACAACAATAAGCATCAACATACTGAGCCATCAAAATTGGTGTATAGTTTCGCGACGATAAAGAAAAGATAGGTATGAAAAATTATATGAATGAAGGATTTTGTTTTTCTATTTCGGGTTGCTCTGCGCAACAGGAGCACTCTGAAGTTGCGCGAGATCAAACAAAGTCATAATTTACCCACTTCCTCACATAAATTTTTGTAAATTTTTACATAAATCTATTGTTCAGTTTAAGCTCTATCTATGAATACTCACTGTAGCCCAAGTTTCAAACCTTCTGCTTTGCAACGGCACTTGACGATTTAAAAACCTTTTTTTTCGCCTTCTAATGTTTTATCTCCAAATTTCTTGGTTTTTCTCAGTTTTATACACTCATCGTTCGCTGCAGATTATAAGCCGCACACAGATCTTCAAAAGATTATTCGTAAATTTCTGCAGTGTTAAAGGGGAGTACCTTCCCAAGTCCAAATGCCACCTCGTGCTGGGCTCTGGAGAAGGTCGAATAGCAGAGCTGGGTTGAAGGCTTGATGGTCTGGAATCACGGATGACACTTAGAACCATTCAGGCCTCTGAGGAAGACGAAAGGCGTCGGAACGTAAGGCCGTGATTGGAAGAAATAAAGACCAATTCTCAAACCTGTGCGGCACAAAAGAAATTTAAACATACGACCATGCCAAAATCTCATGAAAACGAGAAGTCGTTTTGGATTCTTTTGCTTCTATAACAGCTCAGCTCGAGTCCGCATAAATGTTTCTGTGCTTCAGTGGAAATGGTTTTGAAAAATACATGTCGAAATGAACCAAAATGTGTTAATTTTTTTAACAGCAGACATCCTCATAGGATCTTTATATAAAACTAGCTGGCTTACCCGGCTCCGCCGTATCCGGACCAAACTTGGCACACATACACTTCGTGCCCCGGCGGGTGTCACAGTCCACTTTTCGTTATCGATCGATGTCGATTTTACCGATTTTTATCGATTTTTTTGCAGAGTTCACCTACAGGGCTAGGAGTTGGCACAGGGGAAGAAGTGAGCATGGGGATTCCGAATACAATATTAGTTTTCAGAATATCGATTACTTTTATCGATTTTATCGATTTTTTTGTAAAGTTTGACCTGCGGGGCTGGGAGTTTGCACAGGGGGGTAATCGGGCATGCAGATTACGAATACAATATTAGTTTTCAAGATCGTCCATTACTTTTATCGATTTTATCGATTTTTTGAAAATTTGAGCTAGGGGGCTGGGAGTTGGCACAGGGGTGTAATCAAGCATGCTGATCGTCCCCAAGGGGGGTGATCAGCATGCTCGATTACACCCCTGTGCCAACTCCCAGCCCCGTAGCTCAAACTTTGCAAAAAAATCGATAAAATCGATAAAAGTAATCGATAATCCTGAAAACCAATATTGTATTCGGAATCCCCATGCTCGATTACCCCCCTGTGCCAACTCCCAGCCCCGTAGCTCAAAGTTTGCAAAAAAATCGATAAAAGTAATCGATAATCCTGAAAACCAATATTGTATTCGGAATCCCCATGCTCGATTACCCCCCTGTGCCAACTCCCAGCCCCGTAGCTCAAAGTTTGCAAAAAAATCGATAAAAGTAATCGATAATCCTGAAAACCAATAATGTATTCGGAATCCCCATGCTCGATTACCCCCCTGTGCCAACTCCCAGCCCCGTAGGTGAACTCAGCAAAAAAATCGATAAAAATCGATAAAATCGATATCGATCGATGACGAAAAATAGCCTATGACACGCTCCCTGCCCCGAAGTATATGTGTGCCAAGTTTGGTCCAAATCGGTTCAGAAATAAAAATTTCTATTCCGCACATACGTACAGACAGACATACAGACAGACAGACATACAGACAGACATTCAGCTTTATATATAAGACTAACTGGCAAACCCGGCTCCGCCCGGCCCTGTCATTATTATATTCGTAATCAGCATGCTCGATTACCCTCCTGTGCCAACTCCCAGCCCCGTAGCTCAAATTTTGCAAAAAATCGATAAAATCGATATCGATCGATGACGAAAAGTAGCCTATGACACCCGCCGGGGCCCGTAGTGTATGTGTGCCAAGTTTGGTCCGGATCGGTTCAGAAATGGAATTTTCTATTCGGAACATACGTACAGACAGACATACACAGACAGACAGACAGACATACAGACAGACAAACAGACATTCAGCTTTATATATAAGATTCTCCAGTTTGAAGCGCTTATTTCGGGGCGCTGAAAGTGAGTCCAGATAACGGAGAAGTACCAGTTTAACAATAGCAATGCGGCTTACCATGAGCCCCCCAAAAGAGGCTTTAATTTGTTTCTGAGTTTCAAACACTCTATTTGGGCGAGTATGTCGAGAGTGTCTGGATCATAGCTTTGCGAAGCCATAGTTCTCGCAAACTAAAATAACAACGTCAGACCTTCTGCACGGTATTACACATGGAGACCCGTCATACTTCACTGAGAAAAGCCCAAAAGCGCCCAAGAAAGCCCAAAGCCCAAAAGCGGCATAAAGGGCAGGAACGCCCCCTTCCGGGCGCACGTTTTGCGCTAAGACATGTGTGTTAATTTCGTAACCAAGTCTTTTTGGTTTATTTTCTGCCTCTGTACATCAAAATGAAATCAGAATTATACCAAAAACTCGTTTCTGCGCTCCTTCGACTCCTTCCTACGCTTTCCGGCTTTTTCGGGCTTTTTTGGGCTTTTTCGGTTTTTTGGGCTTTTGGGCGAAGTATGACGGGTCCCTAAGAACAGAATCAAGAATTCATCAAATACATCAGTGCACAATTCCGTAAAATGAAAGACCTTGAGACTAGACAATTAGAATTCAAATTGAGTACGTTATTAGAGCATGCGATTAGAATATAGAAATCTTAATATTTGATGGAAAAATCCAGAAATTACTGTCGAAGTAATGATGATGATGATGAAGTAAGGTTTTCATTACACATTCAGGCCAACTTCCCAGGCCACTGGCCTCTAACCAACACGGAAGTTAGCCTAAACAATACATATTTTACACAACAAGAAAGAATGTTTTTTTTTCAGATATCACAATACTATTTTTTATGCACTTACAAAGGCATGGACCCTCCGTCGAAGTGGGATTTCACACATGATGCATATCAATCTGCTGGTCTTGTGACACTAATACCAAATCCGTGTTTCTTAACTACTCAATGACCTTCTGGGATATTATAAGCAATGATTTCCCCAGAATGATCACGGTCCTCTATACCTTTACGACGCAAAGCAGCGTAAGGACGGTTGAGTGGGTGACAGCGGAGACTGTGGAGCAGGCGGTCAAGAGTTCGGATTCCCTATAGAGCCGAAGTTTTTGCTTTCTTACAAATTGTTTTTCATAAATTCAAAGATGCTATTCGAGGCAAGGAGAACCTCCTATTAAACTTTCACAGCATAAATTGGCGCAGTTCCAGTATCCGTGCCCCCAAGACAAATTATTTCACTTAAACTCGGTTTATAGGGGTTATTCGAGATGCTGAACACGAATATCATACTATTCTTGCACGATGAAACTTATTCTGGAGTTAGGAGGTATACGGTAGAAGAACAAAGCCATAGATAATGTTGCGGATTGCGCGACTTCTTCAGGGGAGTTCGCCGCCGCGTTGCAAAGGCTCCCAGGGCGTCAGTCCTCGCGCTGTTCCGCCCCCACACCTATCGCTTTTAAATTGGTCTTCGCAGCTGTCACCTTGTGAGCGGTCGGGTTCAACTTCCATCTCCGTCCAATGATCGACCTAGCAGCGCCTTCCCAACTTTCGAGTACAACATCTATCATGCCAAGGAGGCCTGGCCCTCCTGCGCAGACGAGGTGACCCCGGGTGCGCTCGCGCCTGTCACATGTCGACGACATCGCTTCGAGGGGTTTTCGATTCCACTAGCCCCTAGGATTTAAGATCTGGTCGTTGAACTCTGCCCTTGTGTTTGAGTGTACGGAGCGTATGCGGTTAAATGGTGAGCATTTTCTTGATGTCGGTGTTATTGATTGAGCATTGAGCGAAGGCTTCGTCGTATTTCGTGGTATGGGCTTGTGGCCGAGGTATAGAGGGTTCCACCGAGTGTGGACGGGCATAGAGCATGTTGATGCCCGGATGGTTATAAGCTACAGGTGCCAATAATGTTAGTATAGCCCCAACTTACTAAGGACCCTAGGCAGGCTAGCAGTTTTGGAGCCTCTGGTGTACATGTATACAGTGTTGTGGCAGGCCATGAAAGCATGGCGCAGGCGGTACTACCAGCCCCCATGTTACGTTTCTCGGTGAACCCCTAGCTCCTGTACGTCAATGCTAGAGAGCTCTGACAACTGACGACTGGAGCTGGGTCCAATTTGCGACAGATACTGCTGTAACTTGGTTCAAGGGGACTATACGACTGCTAATCAGCAAAAGTATTGAGTGTTTAGCATTTGGAAAACCCTCACGAGTTCGAGTGCACGACTTTGGGATTTTGGGGCCTGCACTCGAACAGCGACAATTTTTGCTGTGGACAGCTCATTGAGAATCTCTTTCCTCGGAAGCACACGTTGCTTGGCACTGCAAATTCATAGAGGGGGCGGCTCTGGGGAAATCATCGCTCATAACTTTTCTCAGAAGTTCACTGAGCGGCTAAGGAACACGGATTTGGTATGAATGCCCCAAAACCAGCAGAATGACATGCATCATGTGTAGAAACCCAACGGAGGGTCCTTTCCTTGTTAGTAAGGGAGAAAATGTTAGATTAGTGTACAAACGGCAAATGCTTTGAGACCAGGTATTTTGCATATAACGTGAATAATGGCGGAGCCGAACAGCAAGACTTTGGGGAACTTTGTCCTATTTAGCGCTTGGTATCCAGAAGTCCTGGAAAATTGTTTGCTAAGGACATGAGCTTGGTGCAATGTTTATCCAAACCATAACGTAAGAGGGAGGACCAAAGGACGAAATCAACTAAAAAAATTCTCGTTTGCATTGCATTTTGCGTGCGAACAATAGCAAATTATTGCTTCTTGACACATCTGAAATGTTTTTGATGCGACGTGATGAGACTACATGATAACGGCGCATGCAAGCAAGGTTAACATAACATCACAAACGCTTCTAAAAAATTTTTTTAGACAGTCAAGAATGTCCAGCAGCATTCTCGAAATGAAACACATTCTCAAAGACAACACAAACACGTTCTCATATGCTGTGTATTTTGTTTGGAAAGTTGAAACAACAGTAAAGTACGTTAGCCTAAAATCTTGTGAGCCCTCTTGCATGCTGCATTCCTTTGCGGTAGAGAAAGAGCTCCAGACTATTTACTGTATTCTTTCAATCTCTTGTTGCTTCATAAAAAATGAGATTGCAGAATAAAGCTGGATTATTACCCATAGATATATCAACCGTGGATGGATATTATTTTAAAGCAACGCTTTCGCTTTGCAAGTGGAAATATGTTTCTGTTTACCAAATAAATTGTTGATCTAAAAGTTAGTCGCGAAATAATTCAAAAGACGTTTTGGATAACAAAAACAGAAAAAATCGAGGATGCAATATTGAGGCGGCATTGCTTTCTCTAGTGTCCAATATCAAAGAGAGGCCAGTTTCATAGAAATAATCTAACTCTAAAAAGAACTAATCGTTGAAGAAACTTGCGGTGTGACATTTGTGCCTATGTTCGAAGTCCGGCAATGCTTCCATTTCCTATGTTAGGTCTCGCCGCACAAAGGACAATCATAACTATGATAAGAGTTTTACGTTTGTGTGTGTGTGTCTGTCTGTAACGAAATTCTTAGAATGAGTCGCAGACAAGGTTTCAAGCCGCAATTCTTTGCACAACATACGCCGTCAATATCTACATCCACCAAAAAGCACGAGCAAATCGTAGAAGTGGACCCCTCAGAAATTGAGCCTCATATGGAACCACTCAGCTTCTGGCCCGCAATGTAGCTCGCGGTGATTCTTTTCCTCACGGCAACTATCGAGCCATAAAATAATCCAGAACCGATTCAAATTCGCGTTCATTCTTCTGCGGAAAATTTCATCCAGGCGAAATCACCGATCTCATATGGAGTAGCTTTTGGAATGAGTAGTTGTTTGAAATCTGTTTAGCATGCGCAGTGAGTTTCAATGCCTTTTATCATATGCAAAAAAGAGTAAGGCCGATAAATAGCAAAACCCATGCAAGCCTCTGCGAAGCAGAGGGGACGCATCGGTTATCAATAAAGCGAGTCAGTTCAGGTGATTTGAAGGGAAGGACTCAGTTAACGGTTCCACCAGATGAGTTTAGCTGCTTTCGCGTGGTATAAGAATGCAAAGTGAAGTCGACCGTCCGCCTAACTGTCGCTACCAGGTGACTCACTCCCGTAAGCTTCCTTTCAGATGGGACCTGAACCTAACGCAGGTAGCGGGAAAAGACGAGACCGAGGGAATATCATTGTAAATTATACCTGAATGACTTACAACAAACTAAGTTCAAACCGAAGATGTAGAAGAAAAACGAAGCAGTGCAGACTGACGCCTTTAGCTTCGGACTAGTTCACGCGATTTCATCGCCTCGCAATTTTCCCAATAAGACAACTGCTACGAGCCAATCTCATGCTGATCCGAGGGACTGTAGATCCGCCCTTAGCTGGGGATCCCTCGATTGGAGCACGGATCTTGTTTGGAGCGCCATCTCTTAGCGCTCGTTTTTAACAGCATCTTGACAAGCAGGATTTGTTTTCAGTTCTTTGTAACTCTCATTTGCGGTCCCTCACTACTGTGAGAGATGTTTTGTATCCTAAGCACTACATTAGGTACGCTCCAAAATGCTGTAGACTATGAACAGTGGAGACACAGTCTACCTAGTTCAAACAAAAATTCAATATCACGAATTTTGCTGAAAGTTTTCTTTCGGGGTTTATTTGACCTGCAGATTAGGAAATGATATTCATTTCGCATGGTATGGCCTTTGCCGTGTAGGTAAGGGTCTCAGATCTCGCTGGAACTTTGCACGGGGGGTCATTCGGCATACTATCACTAATACCATGTGCATTCTTTGAGATAGGTCGATGTAACTTTGCCCTAAGAGTTTTGCAGATCACGGATAAAAATTCGTTCGTCATGGTATCGCCTTAAGTTATAGTGGGGATGCAACTTGGGGACGTAGTCGCAGATTGGTGTGGAAATTTGCCTAGAGCGACTAGTCGCGACCTTGAGATTTGAAGAAAGAGTTGCCTTTTTGCTCTTGAAGACCCTTTAGCAAAGTTACAGCAAATATGCGGCAACCGGTCGAATCGTATGGAACTGAAGGGGGGTTGTCTGACCTTCTGTTCGCATATATTGCGCTCATCTCGCATAATACGGCTTTGTGGATTTTTGAGATCTAAATTGGTCTAACAAGGGAAGGATACATAGTCGAAATGGCGTCTATATAAA